GGAAAACATTGGCTATCACTTGTGCTGGAAGCCTTTGGAAGGCTCACTGCTCTGTTTATGCAAACGTCTGGTACGTATTAATGCATTCCATTGCTGCATGAAATTTGTGCAAAAGATAGTTTATGTTATAACGATGCATATAAATTGTGGCTGCTCTCAGCCATCGTATGACTGTTTCAATTATACAGTGTACTGTTTAATCTTCACACAGAACCCAAACACGGTTTATGGTAAGGCATTTCTTTTTGTTAATCTGGAAAAAAAAATCAGCTTGTTTACATGGGCCCTGAGGTTAAACTCCCCTGGCAGGGGTTACAATGGTAGCGGTTTTGGTGGCTGTTCTTGACTTTAGTCGCGCAGCGGAAAAGTTTGTGATCGTACCGAGACCAAGACACACGTTTGACCAGAGGTCTGGCCCTCCCTTTTCCTTCCCCCTTCGGAGGCCTTCTGTGGTCTGCACTGCGGTTATATAGGGCCAGAGGGGAGTGACTTGTGAGTTTTGACTACTTCCCTTCTTAGGCAATTGAAGGGCTGACGGAGGCAGTGAAAGTGGGGGCGCTGAATGACCGAGGCGGCCCGAACACGCGTCGCGTGGATTAGGGGGCAGGCGTGTTTTGTGAATCGCACTAAGGCCCCCTTAACAAAACAAGACAATACACGCGTCACATGCATACAGTTCAAAAGACGTGTCATTAGCAACACAACTAAGTACAAACATTCCTTTTGTCTGCCCGCTCGGCAAGAGCGGCACTGGGGTAGGAGGGGAGGGAGGCAGGGTGGTGGTGATGTGGGAGCAGGGCTGGGTGTGTGCACAGCGGCAAGTTTTCCGCGCCAGTGTGAAATGCAGCGGCCGCCCTGGAAAATCATTCTGTAGCCAATCGGAATCTTGCCTTCAGGGCAGTGCCCTGACTCTACCCCTAACCTGAACCCAGTCTTTGCCTCTGTCCCCGCGTCACATACATGGTCATGGCGTGCTCATTCGCATACTCGTTATTGCACTCAGTGAGCCACACAACCTATGCTCATTCGTGGCAGTGGCATGTATCACTCTACTTCTCGGCTTTTAATCGGATTGGCCAATAAGCTGAGTCGGGTAAGTGACAGACAAACACACACCTCACCAATTGCGTGGCCAGAACGAGTAGAAAACAGGATACGAGGGTTTTCAGGCAATGCCCCGTCTTTACAGCAGAGAGATGATGTATCTGGAGCAATCGCCATTTCCTCTGCTACGAAGAGAGATTTCCATAAGGCCACTGTCCAAAACGGTATGTATTATATATATCACATGTGTTTTCCCTTTTAGGGCCACAGCGTTATTGATGAATGTATAGAGTGCTTTGTTATTTGTGCTTGTGCACCACTGCCAATGCAGCAGCATATGCAAATAAATATGTTTTATTTGAATAAGTTCAGCAGCTTATGTGTTTCACAACAAGCCTCTCTTTACTGACGACTACTGGCATTGTATGCTGTGACTCGTGTGTTGTTTTTACTCAAATTTTCGGAAGTGACCTGACCACCAATGATAGCTTAACGAAGTGGCTTGTCATGTAGACATTTATAGCAGGAAAATACCCTGAACGCGTGTTTCTGGATGTGGAAGGAAAAACCGTAGGATCCGGAGAAAAATCCTCGCGAGCTCAGGGAGAACAAATATGCAGGCATCAGGGTTGGAATCGAACCACAGCCTCCTGTATACCAGGCGAGGTAGTTAACATCTCGCCACCGTGGCGCCCCTACAGTGGTGTACTGATCATAACTGCATGTGATTGGATATCATTTGTCACGTAGATTATTTTGACTCGTCGCATTCTCTGCGTGCGAAACACACTTATTCTACACACTGTAGAACCATGTGTGATCTGGTTTGCGGGCAGGTTTCGTCTTTTGGAAGGACGTACACATTTTTATTCACACTCACTCTCCCCATTGTTATTATAAACATATTAGCTAAGCATAGGCCTAAATTGTGACAACGTCCAGTGGGCAGCAACAAACAGCACTTTAAAAGTCGTAATTGATACAGAGTTAACACTTGTCTTAACTTGAGCAAGGTTATTATAGGAGCTTGGGAACAGGCGATGGGAGGGAATTGTGAAGTGCAGCAGTGAGAGGTACAAAGTCCAGAGAGAAGTGTTATGACCTGCAGTGTGGTGTTTGAACACAGCATGGATGAAATAAAACAGTGCCTGGTAAGAAGCTTGATTGAAACAAGTTGCACTTATTCAAGCAGAAGAATGAATGGAAACTCGTTAATGACGTGTCCTCCTCTTGTTTATGATTAAAGGCGGGGGGGGGGGGGGTCCCAGGGAGGGGGGTCCCCGTGATGTCGGGCGTCCGCCTCTGGTTCCGCCGATTGTTAGGGACCTCTGAGGCCCCACTTCTCTCTCCACCCTCCGGCACCGCTCCCTGGCTGCCCCCCGGGACGGGAAGGCAGCTGCAACAACAACAACAGGGTGCGCTGTTCGGAAACCCAGCGCTGCCCGGTGTCCGATTGGAAGTATTTTTTTAAGTAATGGGCCCCCGTGCGCGGCCCTTGTTAAGGTCACGGAATTACATGTGCGTGCCAATCGAGGGCGATCTGAGGCCAGAGGAGGCTCGTGACCGTGACCTGCTTCCAGATGTAAACCCAGAAGATAATGGGCCCACAGCGGCCGTAGGACAGGGGCGACCTCAATTGGCTGGGCCGGGCCAGGCCCCCCATGAGCACAGCTGTGCACAGGGATTGTCTGTGCAGCAAGCAAGCGTCTGTGTGGTTGCGTGCAGCGATCGTTCGTGTGAAACTTTCATCCAACTAGACGTGACTCTGCCTATTATGTAGATTGGTGCCTGGGTTTACCTGCGTGGGTTCGTGTCCCTGTCTCGGTGTCTGCGTGTCAATGTGTCAGTGTCCCTGCACCGGTGTCCTTGTCTCCGTGTCTCTGCATTGGACCTGACCACGGGGATATATGCACAGAAATTAACGTAAAAATAGGACGGCTCATACTGTTTCCACCACCACTGCCACCGCCAGCAGATGTGACATGCACCACGCTGGGCAGATGTGCGAAACGCCTAGCTGGCATAGGCCTAGTGTTTGCACGCGTAAAGTTCTGGCTCTGTGTCCTGTGACACTACACTGTGTACTGTATCTGCGCACTGACTGCGAATACCGTGACTCTGATATTATGGTAATGTGAATGTGTGTGTACTGCGAGTGTGCATACGTACATTGTGCTCACTGAATATCGGCCATTTACATCTCGAAGGAGCTGCGGGTATGCATGACCGTGCCACGTACACACATCCGCCTAATCTTAACCCTTATGCGAGCGAGCAAAGTGCCAACCCTGCACTTAGCGCAGCTCGAGTCGGATCAGGGTTACCTCGGTTATCGCAGAAGCAGATTTTGCAGGGGTCTCGCACTTGCGCCACAGTGTAGAGTCTACGTGTGCGACCGCAGTGCTCTGGACTTCTGGCCTCGGCTGGCACGTGCGGCACGCGCGTGTTTACCCTGGTGATTAATGATGAGCCGTGTTTACCCTGGTAATTAACCCCACAAAGGTAGCGGGGTCAACGGGGACCGCTCCATGGGGAGGCGCCGTGCCAGGCACCTGTCGTGGGGAATGCGTGCATGTGTGTGTAAGCGTGCTGACACTGGAAGCATCGTCTGTGCCCACGGCTTCACGGCCAGCGAGGAATGAGCACCACTGGGGCCCAGCCCAGAGCGGGCCTCCACTCTGAACATACAAGCGGACAGAGATGGGCTGCTGGTGGTGCGCAAGCCACCTTGGCTCACCTCTAGGGCACATTGATTGTTTGTTTAATCTATCAGTGGGCATGGGACAGCGGGCACATGTGTGCTGCGAGTACTTGCATGTCCTCGCCTCCACCGGGCTACCTGGAGTGGCGAATGGTGAGGGCTGTGTGGCCTCGCCAACACTCCCCGTGTGCGTGCGTTCTCGTCACGGTCGGGACACGGGGGAATCTACCTATGATGGGAAAGGGAAATCAAAGAGCAAGGCCGCCTATCGGGCAGTGGGGGCTATCGGCTCTCGGGCTATCGGGATATCGGGGACGCTGGCCTATGTGACTCTCTCGCTCTGTCGTCGCACGGCAGGTGCTGCGGGTTTGAGCGTCATGTCCACCTCATAGCGGAGATGCTATCAAAAACCAACGCAGCCATCGCGGGAGACCAGGAGTTGCTGGCAGGAGACACTTCACCTCGCCCTTCCCATTCCCTTGCTAATGACGGCAACATAGCACGGCTAGTAAACACCGCATCGTGCGAAGTGCCGGCCGCCCTTGTCAAGCAGTCCTCGGTTCGCATGCATGTGAGAAATGTGAGCCCATTAACATGGAATGTTGGCACTCAACACCGCACATCCAATGTTGACCGGCATTCATGAGTAAAGATGTGCGCAGCAGCCCCAGGGGCCTGCAGTTGCCATTTGTGCGTCTGCCACAACCACCCGCGCTCTATTTTGCTCCCCCTTCCGTCGGGCCCGAGCAGAGAGGAGGAGGCGGTGGGCTTGTAATGAGGTCACCTCACTCCTGCACTCCCTCGGAGTTGTGACGGCGCTGGTGGGGGGGCCCGGAGGGGCGAGGGCCCAATGAGCCGCATGCGCTTCCTCTTTCCTGGAGCGCCTGCCCCACTGTTGACGTGCCTCCGAAATTAAATTAAGAAATTGTGGCGCCAATTAATTAGTGGCCAGTTGCTGACATGTGCGGGGTAATTGGCAACATGACTCCTTGCGCCCACGTTTAGCCTGTGCTCGTCTCTTTCCCAGCCCCCCCCCCCCCCCCCGTGCACCGCAGGGAATCGAGTGGCCGAGTTTACCACAATGGAGAGAGGGGCTCTGGCCCTCATCGCCGAGTCTTTGGTGGGGGGGGCAGTAGGGAGATTCTCGAGCCCTCTGGCCCTCTGGCCCAGCGCCGCCTTCATCGCGGGTGGCGGCTGCGAATGCCGTGACTCTGTGCCAAGAGTGACACTGCTCCTAATGTGTCGGTGCATGCAGGGGCCGTGGCCAACGATGGACCAGCCATGGACAGCGTGTTGCCCCTGCTCAAGGACAAAGTGGCCTATCTCTCTGGTGAGAATATGAGTGCCCTCTGTCCGTTTTAATTTTGTATACATGCAAGAGTCCCATACACACAGGCCGGCGTGTGTGTATGTATGTATCTGCTTGTGTAATGTGTGTGTGTTTGTGAGCGGTTCTCAATCCGCTTGTGAGTTCATAATCTGGCAGGGGGTTGACCCGGCCTATTATCTCTCTGGTGTCGATATGAGTATGACTTTGTGGGCAAGTCACCAGTGGTTGTCCTCTGGATCGACTGGGGAATTTCCACTACTGGCTCAGGGCTGTAAACAAGAGATGAGCGCCACCTCAATGGTCACTTGAGCTGGACGTTAGGTGGATCCCAGAACACCTGGGTCTGCTCTTGGACCTCCTGCCAGCGAACCGCTAACAATTCATGTGACCTTAAAGTGCACCAAGCCTGGGACAGGCTGTTGTGATGTCATCTCGAATTGGTGGTGAAATGCTGGCTGTCTGTGTCGTTTTTTGGTTAGCGCACCACTCCAAACCCGGCGCTCTGAGTTTTATTTCCACTCAGAACAAGCATCAGTGGCGAATATTTAAACTGGTCCTGTGCCTCCCCTACATTGACTCAGCCTTAAATGAGTACCTGGTGAGATGTGTAAACATCACCATTGGGATGGCATAGGCAACCAGGCGTGGTGCTGGCCACCCACCCCTAAGGGCACCATGCTGACCTTCATAGTTGCTCATTTACTGCACTTGCCCCAACCGTATGTGAAGGCTATACGGGGTATCTATGTCTCTATGCGTCGTGTGACTCAGGTGGGAGAGATCGGCAAGGAGGCCCCATCATCATGTTCCCAGCGCGTGGCAGCCTGGAGCGGGCCCGGCCTGATGATCTCCGAGAGCTCATCGCTTACCTGGCCAGCGTGCCCAGGTATGCCTTCCAGAACCATTTAAACTTGTAATTCATCGCAGCCGCTGCACGGTATTCACTCGCTCGTGAAGAAAGAGAAGGACTCAAGAGGCACATGGAGGAACCAGAGAGCGGGAAGGCCGCAACCAGGCAGTGAGCTACCGCCAACAATTGACCAAGCTCTGTGGTCCTCTAAATATGAAGGCCTATCGGCCATTGAATGTGGGAGGAGACGGGAGTACCCGGAGAAAACCCACGCATGCGAAGGTGAAACACTCTATTCCATACAGATGGAACTGGTGAGTCCTCTTATTTGTTGTACCGCCGTCCCCGTGTGGGCCAGGTTATGGCACCGCCTCGATGCCCACGGGGAAGGGAGTTTCACATCTTTTGTGTAATCCATCAACCCTCATTGCCTCCACAGTGCTGGATTACAGGCATGCGTAGCCATCACAGCCTGGCAAAGCAATAGCCGTGCCCTAGTGCTCCATGCCTTAACTCTATCCATCCTCAGGGTAATCCACGCCCTTTGTGTAAGTGTGTTGTTTGTCTGTGTGGGTCGTGCGTCGCTGCGTACGTCTGCTGCGCGTCTCCAGCGAGGAGGCGGGCCGGCGCGGCTTCACGGCCGTTGTGGACATGCGCGGCTCCAAGTGGGAGGGCGTGAAGCTGCTGCTGCGGACGCTGCAGGATGCGCTGCCCGGCCGTGTACATGCAGCGCTCATCATCAAACCCGACAACTTCTGGCAAAAGCAGAAAACCAACTTCGGCTCCTCCAAGTTTGAGTTTGAGGTGAGAGCGTCGAGACGACGGGAGCTGGGAGGACACGCAGATGGCGGCCATTGTAGTTCAGGCACAAGCCGTGCAGGATAGGCCGGCATGGCCCGCACCATGGCCCGCTGCTTCAGGGGCCACGTGGCTCGAAGTGACTGACCACGCACCTGTGCCTGCCTCCCCACCCCCCCCCCACCAATGTCTCTTCCACGGTCACAGGGAAACAAGGCTAATGTATATTTGTACCAGCGTTGAACACGGCCAGCCAGGTGGCTCGGTGGTAGTGCAAGTGGCTCATAATTAGAGGCTTGTGAGTGCAAATCCTTGTTGGGGGGGTTCAAATGGTCCTCCTTCCTCATCCGAAATGTCACCTATTATATATTTTTAGTTTTTGGAACCGTGATCTGAACTGATGTGTTGCATTATAATGTTCCACCGCCATCAAATTATCACAGTGAATGTCGCTTAAATGAGAGACACTACCCACCGCTTGTGTCTTCCTCTGTATTGACCACGCGACATCGTGGCTCGAGTGTGTGGCTCCCTTACTCAGTGTAGCTCCTGTACCCCTGGCTACGTACGGTGCCAAAAAAGTTCAACATAAATACGGTAAAATGAGCCACACAGCCCAGTAAAAAGACGAGGATTTGCACTGACAGAGCAGTTGCTTAAATGCCTTGGCAACTCAGAGGGCCTTACATCATATCTCGTAAATTCCAGTGCCCTGCTATAGTTTAATCGTGGGGACCCAAGGTGGCAGCTGTCCCATTATTGCTTGCACAACGTTCAGACGGCGCTGGTGTCGGTGGACGGGCTGGCACGGGTCGTGGACCTGGCACAGCTGACGAGCGAGCTGGACGGCTCGCTGGACTACAGGCACGAGGAGTGGCTGGAGATGCGGGGAGCAGCCGAGCGACTGGCAGGACGAGCGCGCCACCTGCTGTCCCGCCTCGAGGAGCTGCAGGTAACGGCACGTCCTCCCTGCTGCGCTGCGCTGCCCATCTCTCCCCGTGCCAGGCAGCGTGGGTTGTTTCCTGTCCTAGAGAAGATCCCCCGTGAGACTCTGTGGCATACACGATAAGCAGACTCCTGCTTCCTCCAATCTCTTGCCATTCTGCTGCATTGTTTCTCATCTTCTCTGTATTGCTGTGTCCCCATCTTGGTAACAACTTTTCTCTTCGCCTGTTTCCATCACACTTGCATGATTATATATTCCAGGGTGGCTCAGCTCTCTGGCCGATTTCCTTCGATAGATTATTTCTATTTTAAGTTCTTTCACTCCTGACTCATGCTTGCCATCGACAGAACAGCAAGCGTGTGCGTGTACGACTGTGTCTCCAACGATTAAATTGGATCATCTGTTGTATTATTAGTGATGGATTCACATCCATGGAGGGCAATTGAGAGGCCATTGTACTTAGAACTCTCAGTCTTGATTTGTTTGCTAAAGCCTCGTGTATTATTACTATGTTTTTTTGACTCGGGAAAGCCTGACTGAGTCTCAAGAACACTTTTTCAGGATGGTTCTGCCAAGTTTTTGCAGGAGGGAGCCTTGACTGTTCATGGATTTGTATAGAGTAATTGTAGATTTGTTTTCAAATTTAGACCATGACTCCAACAGACAATGGCGTACTCTTTGCGAATTACATCACAGGCTCTTTAACATCCATCACGAAATAAGATGGTGCGTAGTATTTTTACACGCTTTTATTTAACCCACTCCGTCTTTTGTATCCTCAAAAAAAATCTTGTAACTAAATTTTTACCCACTTCCCAATTTGCTATCGACTGCAAACTTGAAATACCTACGTCATACTGATGACAAGACTATATTCTATCAAAAAAAATTTCAAAACATATTTTTTATCATTTTACACGCTTTTATTTAACTCACTCTGTCGTCGTATCCTGAAATATTGTAACTCAGTTTTAACCGTCTTTGCAATGTCGTATCGACTGCAAACTTGGTATAGGTATGTCATACTGATGACAATACTATATTCTATCATTAAAAAAACAAATTAAACAACCTTTTTTTAACGGCTCTAATTGTCCACGCTCAACTCACTTTGCATGTAAATCACCACGGTCCCCCTTACGTTACTGCAAGCATCGGGGAGCCACGCCGACGGGCGGGGGTTCTGGAAGGAGGGGAGGGGCGATGGGGGAATGGGGCAGGGGGAGGGGCAGCTCGGACAGTACATTTCATTAAAGCGTGTTTTTTTTAAAGTATTTTTAAATATTTTATTATGGATAATACACCTGGAGTTATGGTTGGTTGAATCCTTGTGTAAGGGTATTGATGTAAAAAAATCTGGTCTCAAGTTCCTCTGTCTTCTGTCAATGCTGTCCCTTCCACTGAGATCTCATTCTTTCCATTTGCCATCCACATTGCTATCTCGGGGAGTGTTCCGCTCACGTGGTTGATGAATTCTGTCATCATGTAGCTCGAGTTTAGTTTAAAATCTTTTAATCTCATTAACCTCCTGTGTTAGATCCTATGTGTTGATTCACATAGATCCTATGTGTTGATTAGGCAATGCTACATTCTCAGTGTTCCATTCCCAGTGCGAAGTACAAATTGCTATTACACAGGTTCAGAAACACTGTGGTCATTAATAAATTATATAGAATTAAAGATTAAAAGTGCACAAAGAAGAATGGAGAGAGATGCATGCTTGGATTAAACATTGTGAGACAGAGAGGGGAGCAAATGGATTAGTTATCATACACAGATTAATGACGTCATCAAAACTATCAAGAAAAATGAAGTGGGCTTGGGCAGGACACGTCGTTGAAAGGGATGATGAATGATGGTCAACAATAATAACGGAGTGGCAGCCAAGGAATGGAACGCGTTTGAGAGGACGCACACCAAGGAGATGGAGCGATGAGTTAAGTTCCATATTCAGGTCCTGGGTGGATTGTTGCATTTGAGGATCGTGAGTGGTGGTGGTGGCTTGGGGTGAGTCCTTGATCCAGCAATGCATTGATCATTGCTGAAGATGATGATGACATCCGGAACACATCTTGCAGACGCTGCCGTGCGGCATTCCATCCCAGTGCGTCACGACAAGATTAGCGGTCAAAGAGTCACTGTGGGATTAGCGGTCAAGGGCAGGCGAGTGCAGCTGCAGAGCACGGTGAGCAGCGTTGAGACTGAGTCAGGGGAGGGCTGAATTCTCTCCCTAAGTCTGACGCTGATACCGGGGCAGGCTCACATTCTGCTTGTTCCTCTACTTGGCCCATTTTACACAAGAGGAGAGCTCCGTAACCGGGACCGGCGGACGCAACGCGGGACAATGCGGGACCCTGGCTATTTAGCCGTACACGACAGGCGCAAAACACATAGGCAGGCGTTTCTTCCACACGGCATTGCTTTAATACTCACTAACCCCGGACCGGTTTTGAACATGTGTCGTGACATCGTTGCATGTCACTACGTGAAGCCAGCCTGGAAGAGGCACGGCGCACGATGCATCGACATCGCAGACAACACTGAAGGTGGATGCAGTACCGGCCCTAGCGGGGCTTGGGGAGCACTGACTGACAGCAATAGATGGCACCACGCACTGCATGCAGTGCCAGCCCCTACAGGATAGGGTGCGAGGGTGCCAGCCTCGGAACGGGGTTTCAGGGGGCCGTGGCACTCGGGTTGACCCCGGAGGACACGTGACCAGAGGTGTCTACCTGGGGACCCCCAAAGGGGGGTACTGGGGTGACCACGTGTTGAGTTGGAGATCCTCCTCAAGGATTCCAGAAGGTGGCCGTGGCTAGGGGCGGAGCGAGCCCCACCATACAGGATATAAGCCGGGACCCCAGTGGGACCAGCTGCTGTTGTCATCCTGAAGAATCCTTCGTGCTGCGTTCCTCGTTCTGCAAGAGTCTCCAACATGTCGACCCGGACCCGAGCTGGGTCCGGTCCATGGTAGTTACTGTGTAATTAGTGTAGATAGCCTGGTGGTCCACCATCATAGCATGTTACCTGGTAAAGGGGCTGTTACCCCTTTGTGTTAGCGTGTTGATGTTAATAAACGTGTTGCCTCCAAGAGTCTCCGTTTGAGGCCACTGCACATGCATTGTCTCATCAGCAGTCAGGCTGACTAAAACCGATACTGCTGAAGGCCATGTGGCTGATGTGATGTGTAAAAAATGCTTTTATTTTTATACGTGGAGCGACAGATATGGGAAGAAGGCGTATTGTCTGCTTCGTTATTTTTTTAGTTACATCCTCTAAGCGACACTCAGGATTTCGTGGTTATGTACAAGAAAGTAAGCGGGACGCTGCCTTGGTATTGCCATGGTGGAACGGTGAACGCACTGGACTGGCAATCCAGAGGTCACCGAATAGATTCGATCTCCTGGCGCGGTATTTGAAAGAATTGCAAAGTTTTTTAACCCCCCCCCCCCCCCCCCGCATTGACTCTGTCCATCGATCGGCAGGCTGCGTGTGGTCGGGAAAAGTGTGCGTACTCCCACCTCTTCCGAGACGTCCATTCAGCGTAGAAGGGGGTAGACCAACGTCTTCTGCGTGAGCGGGTCTCACTCGAGTTCTATCTAGTGGAGGTCATTCCGCCGGCAGTGGCGCGAGAGATTCACTGCCGGGCCGCACCTTTACCTTCTTTACGCGATAGTAAGGACTGCCGTGCCGCCGTGCCGCGTCGCAGGAGATGCTGGCGCGCAAGGACTCCCCCGGGGAGCTCGAGCGGGCGCGGCAGCTGGCGAGCGAGCACGCCAGGCTCAAGCGCACGGTGCTGGCGGCGCCTGTCGAGGCCCTGGAGCAGGAGACGCGGCGGCTGGTGGCCCGCGTGCGCTCGGGCGACGCGCAGGCCTTCCCCCGCTGCAACCCCGACCTGCAGGCACTCGGCCCGTGGCTCGCCGGGCTCACGGAGCGCCTGCACACCACCCGCCAGCACCTGCACCAGGTGTGGCACGTGCGCAAGCTCAAGCTGGACCAGTGCTTCCAGCTGCGCCTCTTCGAGCAGGATGCCGACAAGGTGAGGCCGTCGGTGCCCCTAGGGGTAGGGGGGTGGGTATGGCTCGGGGCTCAGGGCGGCTGGAGGCTGCTGCCTGCTGACCCAGCTGTGGAAGTTGTTAGGCAGTGGGAAGAACATGGACCAGTGGTAGTGTGTTTACAGATTTTTGCGGAGGTTCTAATCCGGCAGGCTGCCTTTGTTAATACTGCGGGTGTATTAACCGTAAAGTACGCATCATCTGCTTCCCAGTGGATGTTAAACATCCCGTGGTGTTGTTCGAAAAGGGGGAGGCCATCGCATGCTGGTGTCATTTAGCGTGTCAATTGAAAAAAATACCTAGAAATTACTCAATTAGGATTGCACAGCAATCATCCGCTCCTCCTGGCAGACTAATGCCTACTCGCAGAACGGTGATGAGTCACCTTGTGCCACACAGGGACAGCTGCCTCTGGGTGTGCCCTTCAAAAATTTGTGATGGAAATCACTTTGAGTTGCTAATGCATTTATGAAAGTGCAATATAAGTGTTGTAAACCATATCCTGATCTCTTGAGTTCTCTTGAATTTTCTCAACTGGTTAAACAAAATAAACGTGAACATTTAAACAGGAAAAGGCTGCGTGACCGTAACTCACCTCATTTACAGAATGTCGTGGGTTTGATCCTGGCCCTGATGCCTGCATGTCTCTCTCCCTGTGGTCACGTGCATTTTTCTCAGTGTCCTCCGGTTTTTCCCTCCACATTTAGAAACATGCGTTTCGAGAATTTGGATTCTATAAATCTCGGCATAATAAGCCATTTCGTTAAATTAATTATCAATTGTGGCCAGGTCGCTTCTGAAAAAAGAGCTATATAGCTTATTGGGCCTAACCTGGTAAAAAAAAAATAGTTTTAGATTTTAGTATGGAGCCCAGGAGATTGATGATTGATGGGTGTAGTCGTGATTTCCCACTCAACACAGTGGTCCGCATGAGGGTTGCTATTTTCCACTCCCGTTGGTCGGTATATCGGTGTGTGTGTTTCAACAGCTGGAGTGCGCTGGAACTCGTAGCCAGCTACTGAAAGGTTTCACTTTCTTTTGGCTCCCTCCCTGCCCAATATGTGACCTCATCTGCCACCGCCACAGATGTTTGACTGGATCGAGCACAACAAGGAGCTGTTCCTCAAGAGCTGCACAGAGATGGGCTCGGGCCACCAGCACGCATCCGAGCTGCACACACAGCACTCCCACTTCGCCATGAACTCCATGGTAACCTCTCTCCCCTCTGGCTCACGGCTCCTCCAGAATCGTGACATCCTGGATGCCCGCACGGCAGCTGCGGCGTCGCACGTTGCTGCTATACAAAGCCCAAATTATTCCAAAGTTGGATCCTGCTGCAGTATCTGGGGTGGAGCACCCAATCCCCACCTCGTTGATTTGGTTACTTAACGCGTTAGGCCTTTGGGCCCAGTGTTCAGTAATTAGTGGGGAAAAATCAAATAGAAAATAACAGCTGTAGCCCTTCTCTCGCCTGGGGGAGCAGGTTCACACGTACCTGGAAATTAATTTTCATTTAATTCCTATTTGTGTTTTTGTACTTTTTCTTATCTCCCGCAAAGTGGCAGTTTTGCCCTGATTTACATTCGCTTCGTCGTTGTACTTTATTTTTACGTACTTGCTTTTGACGTTTCGTTGACCCAGTTCAGTCACTCTCGCAAACTAGACTCACCGCGATCTCGCAATTTCTCACCCGGTCAAACAAAACAAACGCGCAAGGGCGAACGTACTTCGACGCGCGTGCGTGTTCGAGGGGACATGTGTTGATGCGCATGCGTGCTCCAGCAGAACGCATACGTGAACATCAACCGCATCGTTTCGGTGGCGGGGCGCCTCGCGGAGGGCGGCCACTACGCGGCCCAGCAGCTGCGGCAGACGGCCGAGCGGCTCCAGCGCGAGTGGAAGGGCTTCACGGCCGCCATCGACGAGCGCAGCCTCCTGCTCTCCATGTCCGTGCGCTTCCACCTGCGCGGCGACCAGGTGCATGCGTGGGCTTGGGCGGGTCGCCGCGGTCGGGGGTCGGTACGGGCTGAGTGATCGTTCTCGTGGTCGTCGTCGGGGTCATCGATACATTGTGGGTGGGGTTAGACACATGCGTTTAGAGTATTTGGCTGCTATACATTAAGCCACCTTGTTGACCTATCATTTGTGGCCAGGTTGCTTCGGAAAGAGAGTTAAATAGGTCAGTGGGCCTTGGGATAGTTTTTGGGGTATGGCGGCAGCATGGTTAGGAGTAAAGCTTAGCTGGTAGGTTGGTAATAGGTTCTGTAATATGGAAATTGTTTAGTGATGCAGCGATTGGCATGGAGCATGAGCACAATACAAATGTAACACAATCATCAATAACACCGCCTTAAATTAGGCAACGTAGGGTCATGGCCTAAAGCGTCGCCTGTTATTAATGTTTTTCTTGAAGGCGGTTCTGTACTCTGTGCATTGATTGGATAGTGTTGATGTAGCTGCTTTAAAGGGCTGCGACTCACATGGCTGCTTTGCGTGCGTGTGCAGTTCCAGGCGAACGTGGACGGCTGGTGCAAGGCGTGCGGCGAGGGAGCTCTCCCCAGCGACATCCACTCGCTAGAAGCTGCAATCTTGCGCCACCAGGGCCTCTCCGATGAGATCGGCCAGGCCTACGCGGAGGTACGGCCAAGGGCCTGTTAGTCGACGGCCTAGGAAACAGGTGACCGTTCTCAGACTCGATTGCCGGTTCCGAAAGTCAGGACCCGGTAACCGATTCCAGTGGAATGTTACTAACGGGGAGCGCGGTTCCTCAGTTAAAAGGTAAAGGTGCAACCCTGCAATTGCTTGTTGCAGCTGGTGGAAGGGCCTCCACTAGAGGGAGCTCCGTAGGGTATTTGGTCTACTCTTCCACGCTTTGAAGAGGTAATCGTACCCACAATTTATCCCACCACACGCGACTTGCCGATAATAGACTGACCGTGGAGTTTCGAGAAACTTGCACCATTGTTTCAACTGCCACGCCTGGGGATGGAATCGACCCGGTGACCTCTGGATTACAAGTCCAGTGTGCTGACCACCCTGGCAGCTCACTTCGTTTCTCAGTTAAAACGGTAAACACATTACATTTATTGCTTGATACATTTCTATACGTGCGGCAAACCGGTAGTAACCGGTTTGTTAAAGAGTGTTTGCTCATGCGTTTACGGATGATGTCAAAAAAACTATTTAAACATCTCCAGTGCGGACGTCACTCACACCCACGTGCCGCAACGAAGACGACGCAGGCCGTGTGTGCACGGTCACGCACGGACAGCAGCGCACAGATGCCCGAGCCGAGCGGCCACCTGGGCAAACGTTCACGGGTTTGGGCACAACCGCAGAGGTGTTGAGACCTTGGATCCTGTGTATACAGGTGTGGGTGTGATGAGCGGCAGCGCAGTGGTTAGCACACCGTGCTACGAAACCAGAGACCAAGGTTAGATTTAATTCCTGCTCACGGCAATATCGGTGACAAATATTTGAACCTCTCCTGGGTCTCGAGCATAGTGGCCACCCACTTTGCGTGTGTAGTTATTTGTCCAGGTGTGTTCTCGTGCGTCGTAATGTAGAGGTTTGCACACTGCGCTATGAGCCGAGCGACCTGAGTTAAATTCCTGCTTATGGCCAACACCAGTGACGTTTATCTGAATCAGTCCTGAGCCTGCCCTAGGTCGACTCATCCTCGTAAGCAGTGTCAGCCTTCACATGTGCTTGCTAATAGCACTTGCCAGGAGAGTCTGTCCAGGCTATAGGGGAAATCCTTGTATTTGTGCAGGTGAGCAGGGAGGGTAAATCTCTGCTGGAGAAGCTGCAGCGACCCTTGAGTCCCGGCAGTGCCGAGTCGCTCACGGCCTCTGCAAACTACTCGGGCGCCGTGCAGCTCATCCTCGACTGCGTGCACGAGGCGCTGCACAAGCACCGGCAGCTTGAAGCCCTCTGCACGCTACGCAAGCTGCGCCTGCACCAGCGGCTGCAGCTTCTCGTCTTCAAGCAGGACGTCAGACAGGTGCCCACCATGCGTGATGATGCCCGTGCATGGCCCCGGGGCAAACCAAAGGCGAGGCCTTGAGCCCGCGGTGGCTTGTGAGCTTGGTATTGGAGATGGAACAGAAGGGAAAGGCAAGGCGGAGGTGGGGGCTGATCATGCCTTCACAGCTGCATGGGCCTCTGGGGAAATATACGCAGCAGCTGAATTTCTGAATCATCTCGTCGCACCTATTCACACCTTATTACATCTCATTAAAGCCCTGTTGCTCCTTGATACAATGCGCTAGATTTCCAGAGTCTGTGCGCAGTTTGGAAGGGTGCCCAGCGGACTCCTGGTGGTAAATGCCACGACTGTGATAATGTTAGGTGTGGCAAGGTGCATTGTGGTGCAGTATTGTGTGTGTGTGTGCGTGCTGCGTGCGCTATGGAGCAGTAGTGCAGTTGTGAGGGGACTGCGCTACGAACCCGGGAACCCGAGTTCAATTCCCACTCGTGACAAATATTTTGCACTTGGTCCTTGGCCTCATCTGCGTCGACTCAGCATTTAAATGAATAACTGGTATGGTGTGAAAATATCAACACTGGGGAGACAAAGGCGACCGGGTATGGTTGTTGTCACCCACCCCCTTGTGTGCCGTCCCGGCCTTTATAAGTGCTCACGAACAACACTTGCCCTAAGAGTCTGTTAAAGGCTATATGGGGGATCATCTGTCTGTGCGTACGTCGTAGGTGCTGGAGTGGATTGACACGCACGGGGAGACGTTCCTCAGCAAGCACACTGGGGTGGGCAAGTCGCTGCACCGGGCTCGCGCGCTGCAGAAACGCCACGCCGACTTCGAGCAGGTCGCACAGGTCCGTGGACCACGCGCAGGGCGCGTACGAATGATGCTTAGATGGACTCTGTTTATAGCCAGGTCACAGACCAGCGAGACAAAGCTCTCCTTTACAAGGGACACTGGAAACTGAGTGAGTGTACGGTACAACTCTATTTGTTCACGGCCGTTGAAACAATGGTGCAAGATTATTAAATCCCTTGCCCGATCAACAGGTCGCGTGCGGTGGGGTAAAGTGTGAGTGCTCCCACCTCTTCCAAGATGCCTTGCCAGTGTGGAAGAGTAGGCAAAAGCACCCTCTAGAGGGGTTCTTCATAAGTGGAGGCCCTTGCGGCAGCAGTGGCATGAGCAATTCATTTCAGAGCTGCACCTGTACCTGGAGAACGAGCTGCCTATTTGAAAGCTCGGCAACGATCAAGTCCAGAGCTTCTGCAAAGCAAGGAAATTCCTAAATGGCCCAGAGCATACTCCCTCCATCACTTAACATAGCAGGAGGAGACACAATGCTGATGGTCTGGGTCTTGCCTGCAACCTCATTACCCCGTGACCCTGCGCAGAACACATACGTGAACGCGGAGAAGCTGCTGGAGGCGGCGGAGGCACTGGCACAGAGCGGGGAGTGCGACCCCGAGGAGGTCTACTGCGCGGCGCACGCCCTGGAGGAGCGTGTGCAGGACTTTGTGCGCCGCGTGGGCCAGCGCAAGCTGCTGCTCGACATGTCCGTGTCCTTCCACAACCGCGTCAGCGAGGTGCGGCACAGGGACACCGCCGCGGCGCCACGCGTTGAGAAAAGCGCATAGCGCGACCTTCGCTTGTGCGCGACTCAGCCTCCAACGAGGACTGGTGTAGTGTGTAAAATCATCTACTGGGGAGACAAAGGTGGTTGGGAGGGTTTCTGGCCACCCACCCCCTCATATACCGAGCCGGTTTGCATAGGTGCTCGCTAACGGCACTTGCTCCAACAGTCTGTTAAGGCTATACGAGGAATCTTTGTACCCACGTACACATGAAAGTGCACCTAGTATGGCATAAGCGCCGTGGTAACGTTGCCGCCACTTAGCGGAAAATTGCGGTTGTTGTTGCACGTGGGGAGCGGTAGTGCAGCGGTTAAAGCACTGCACTACGAACCCCGCAGTCCGAGTTGGATTCCCTCTCATGTCCATCGTCAGTGATGGATATCTGAACTGGTCCTGGGCCTCCTCTATGTCGACTCAGCCTTGAATGTGTGTCTGTGGGGTTGTGTGTAAACATCAGCGTTGGGGAGACGAGGAGGCCTAGCTTGGTGCTGGCCACCCACTCTCTCATGCGCTGTTCCAACCTTCACAGGTGCTCACTATCAGTGCTTGCCCCAACAACCTGTTCAGGCTACACGGGGGGGTTCCTTGTTCTTTGCGTGCAGCTGTGGGGCTGGCTGGAGGAGGTGCAGCACGACGACGCCCTGGAGGAGGCCGGCGAGAGCGGCGACGCGGAGGCCGTGCAGGAATTGCTCTCTGATTGGCGGCGGCGGCAGCACAGCACCCTGGAGGCGATCGCCAGCGTGGCACGCGAAGGGGACGATCTCATACAGCAGCTGCGGTCTGTGCTCAATTACTCACACACACACATCATGATACACACACACATCATGATACACACATGATACACACACACGACACACGCACACATCATGACACACACACGTCATAATACATACACACACATAAAAATTCACACACAAAACAAAGACGCCCCATATAGCCTTTAACAGACTGTTGGGGCAAGTGCTGTTAGCGAGCACCTATGGAGGCTGGCACGGCACACGAGGGGGCGGGTGGCCAGCACCATGCCCGGTGGCTTTTCTCTCCCTAGTGGCGATGTTTACACATCACACCAGGTACTCATTTGAGGCCGAGTCGACCTCGGGAAGGCCCAGGACCGATTCGGATAATCGTCACTGGTGTTGGCGATGAGCGGGAATAAATCTCGGGTAGCCAGATTCGTAGCATAGCATGCTAACCGCTACACTACTGCTCCCCACACGCCCACTTGTACACACACACGCCGCACGTGTGCACACAAACACGCGGAGCCGCACGCGTTCACTTACGCTGCGTTGGAGCCCCGCAATTCCATTACGTAACCATCTGACACTCGGTACAAGGAACGCATTAAATTCCACTCTGATTAAATCAATGTTGCCTGTAGTTTATAGAGGACCTTTGTATGGCCTGTCTGGTGCAGTCAGTGGAGCGGTATTTCTTCGCGTTAACACTGCCGCACCGCCGGAGGATGCCCTGCGGGAATCCGGGCCGTGTCGTCTCTAATCGGAGCGACGCGTAACGCCGCTCGCACTGGGGCAGGGTTTGAGCCGCGTGTTTATGGCTCCGCTCGATCTCGTCCCGTAGCCAGGGGCACCGCGGGCACGCTCCGTAGCATGGAATGCACTTCCTGTGTCACGGTGCCATTCGGTCATTTTGTTTTATTTGTATGTATGTTGAAATTCTTTTGCACCGTGGCCAACGGTGCTCATTGGAGGTGAAGGACAACAAACTAGACACAAAAAGCAGTTAGAAACAAATGAGTTTTCAATTAGATTGAAAAGTACATCGGTGTAGTGGCTTCCTAATATCGGAAGGAAGAGCATTCCAGACCATCTCTGTTGAAACAGAGGAAGCCTTGGATTGTGAAACCGGCTTGACTCATCACAGACAATAAACCAGGATAAATAGATTGTTGGTAAGGCTATCAGCCCCATAGGTGAGGTAAGACTAGGTCAGAGGCCTAATAAATTAGGTTAAAGGCCTTATAAGTTGGTCAACATGCCTCGTGAAGCAAAATAATGGCTATATCATATTTGCTCTTTATCATTGGAATCTGCAGGATCTTGGTTTTCACACGCAGACTGTGCTCATTGAACTCATCCCAAAGGACACGGTCCTTGTCACAGCACAGCATCCCCCGGCCGCCGGCTGCTTTGCTGGCCATACCGATGCACGTGTCGTGGTTCCTATTAAAAAAAAAAGATTTCCTGTATAGCCCGACCGCCTTTGTCTCCCCAGTGGCGATATTTACACAACGCACCATAGTACAAGTGTAAAGACAGTGCGGAGCGATAGCGGGACAGTATGGTTCCCCGGGACCATGGTTATTAATGGACGTGCTAGTGATGATTAACGGGACGAGCGATGATAGGGTCACATGAGGGGGAGCACAGGATCCAATGGCGGGAAAGTGTAATTAGGGCAGTGATTGACAGAGCAGGTGCGGCGAGGAGAATTCGGGAATAAGGGCATGGCCGGACCGGGCGAGACTAAGAACCAGCGCGAGCCGGAGCTGTGTGCTGTCGTCGCCCTGGATCGGGTCGTCTCCATCGTCTGCGAGTTGTCTTGAGACTAGAAGCTTTGTTGTCTCTGAGTAGAGTTGTCTCACTACAGTGTACGGAGTCACTCATGGTTACTTGTTGAGTTGTCAGTGGACTTTGTTAATAATAAATATACAGAAGACAGGACGGTGTCTCTGAGAGCTACATTACACAAGTATCCCTCGATTGGAATGGATTTTCCCATTAATTTAATACTAAATACAATGGATGTTTTTCTGACAGTTATTCATACTCTACTGCTAACCTAATAATATACACACAATACGGAAAAAAGAACATAAATATTGAACACTCATTTAATAGAAACTCAACATGTTGCCACCGTGACCCTCACCAGGACAAGCGGATTGAGAAAAGAACAAATGAACGGATTATCGCCAAGAGATCTGCTGCATGTGGGAATGATTGGAGAGGTGATGTGGCGTGGACGGATGACGCAGCTTCCCGGGTAGCTCTTGTTTGATCTTGTGGCGCGTGCCGCCAGACATTTCATTAACGCGCAAATTTTATTTTATTAGCCGACAAGTATCCGGTTCAGATAACCGCTGTTTTTCCCATGAACGGGAATTGAACACGGGTCGCCGAGTTCATAGGGCAGCGCGCTAACCACTACACCGCCACTCCCCACTGAGGATCCCATGTGCACCGATTGACCTGCGTGCGTCTTTGTGCGCTCGTGCGTGTAGGACGGGTGGAGGAGCGCCCCACGCCAGCTCGCTCGCGCACCTGCAGGCCGTGCGGCGGCAGCTGGAGGAGGCCACGGCCTCCATGGAGGACTTCTTTGACGAGCGCGGTGTCCGGCTCCAGCTGCTGTTGCGCTTCCGCTCGTTTGAGCGTGAGGCCACTGAGGTTTGTGTGTGAGTGTGTATGTGTGTGTGTATATGTTGGGGAGCAGTTAGTGTGTTGCGCTATGAAACTGGCGATCCGAGTTCGATTCCCGCTCACGGCCACCAACACCAGTGACGATTTTTTTTAACTGTTCCTGGGCCTCCCCTAGGTCGACTCAGCCTTAAATGAGCACCTGGTGCGATATGTAAACATCGCCACTGGAGAGACAAATGCAGCCGGGCATAATGCTGGCCACCCACCTTCCTCGTGTGCCGTGCCGGCTTTCATAGATGCGCGCTAACAGCATTTGCCCCAACAATCCGTTGGAGGAAGTGCTGTTAAGTGCTGTTCAGGCTATACGGGGGATCTTCGTCTTCGCTTAATTTTGATACTTGGTCTTTATGTTGTTGCTCGGAGTCTTGCCTGGTGAAAGGAAATGAACCTGAAACTCGCGCACCGTGCGGTTCCCGCGCCCTGGCGGCCACGCAGGTCATGTCCTCGCTGTCGGTGTGGCACGAGGAGATCGAGCGCCGCGCCACCGAGTTTTCCACCGAGGACCCCACGGAGGCCGAGCGCCGGCTGCGCTTCCATTCGGACAAGTCACTGGGCCTCAACAACCTGGCGCTGGACCTGCTGGCGCAGGGGCAAGGGCTCATGCAGTGCATGCTGGAGGAGCAGGCCGCAGGTCAGCCGCGTCGGCGCTTCATTGTCTCTGTTGCTGTCTCTGCTGCAGCGTCCGTCCTTCGATCGTTTAAAACCGAGTAAAGTTTTTCCGGTTGGAGGTGTTATTCGGGAAAAATGGTCATGCTGGGTGGAACATGCTTGCCAGGGTGGTGACAACCACATAGACATTAGAGCGGTCTCCACAGCAAGTCCAGCAACCAAAAGGCAGGGATGACCTCGGAGCAAATGGGGGGAGACTGTTAGGGCAGATCTTGGAGGTCGCAGCAGCGGCAGAATCTGTGTGTGCCTGTACTGAGTGTGTGTGTGTGCATGTCGACTCAGCCTTAAACGAGTACCTGGTGCGGTGTGTGAACATCACCACTGATGTATGCGCATACGTGCGCGTGTATGGTTGTCACCAGGCCTGGAGGTGGTCTGCGAAGGGGACGTGGATATGTGTGTGCGAGTTCAAGAGCTGCTCCAGTGCGTGCAGGAGCGCAGGCTGCAGCTGGAGGGGAGTGCAGACCTGCACCGCCAGCGCCTCGAGCAGTGCCTGCAGCTGTGCCAGCTCCAGGATGAGGTCAAGCAGGTGCTGGCTCTCACCCGACCTCGCACACGCATGCACGCCGCCCCGCACAGCAACAACAACGATAGCCGCCTTTCAGCACGCAGTTGCGGTGACGTCACCACAGTGCTTGTGCCAGGCTAGGTGCATGTTGAGGCCATCACGTGAAGTGTGGATGGCTCGCTGGCAGTGGGTCACAGGACAGACCCAGGTGCTATGGGTTGCCGGGATCAGAGAGCAAATGCAGGTTAGTGACATCAAGTCAGTGGGCTTGGACAGGACATTGTGTCCAAGAGGATGTTTACCGAGGAGCTTGAGCAAAGAGATAATTTCATGCGCAGGCATTGGATGGGTTGTCGCATCATGGGACCATGAGAGGTGGGGGCGGCCTGGGAAGACCTTCATCCAGCAGTGGATTGATCATGGCTGCTGCTGATGACGGTAATGACTGAGTTGACTGGCTGGGAAAGAGAGGCTACCATTCCCCTGTCTCGAGCTGGACCGATAACGCCTGCATCTCTGTGGGATGAAAGAGGCCCAGCGGATGGGTTCCGGCTGCAGTTGCCACGAAGGGTGGACAGTCTTCCCACCAACGCGGACGCACGCATCTGCCCGTGCCTGCGCCCCCTCGACCCAGCGTCCAACCTCCCTCCTCGGTGCTCGTCGGCCCCGTGCTGGTCGCGCCGTGCCCTGTCCGCTGCCCCCTCTCACGCTACGTCTCCCCCCAGGTGTTGAGCTGGATCCGTAATGGGGAGTCGATGCTCAACGCTTCGCTGCTCTCGGCCTGCTCGCTGGAGGAGGCCGAGTCGCTGCAGAGGGAGCACGAGCACTTCCAGGTCGCTATCGAGGTACGCTCGCACGAACACATATAGTCAAGAGTCAAGTCAAATTCCACATTCCTATGGCGTGGGTGGGCTATCCATAGGACAACCACTGTTGACTTCGCCGCAAAATGGTGCTCATGTTTGTGACCCCGGAGGGTTGATGGGCTGAGTCAACCCCTCAACCAGGAGTTGAACTTGTAACCTGATCACGAGCCACTCACTCTACCGCTGAGCCACCTGGTCCCATACAGTACACACACACACACACACGTATACACGCACGTGCTCACAAATTCACATACGTGTGCACAAAACACAGACCCCCAATTATTTTATAGCTTTATTGACTGTTGGATACCTATGAAGGTTGGTCCGCCACATTAACGGTGGTGTGGCCAGGACCACGCCAACCCAGCTTTGTTTTCCCAATGGTGATGTTTACACATCACGCCAGGTACTCATATATACAAATACATGCACAACAAAGAAAAAACATCCCCTGTATAGCCTGAACACACTGTTGGGGCAAGTTCTGCTAGCGAGCACCTCGATACACACAGATCACACACATGCACACACAGGTGGTGTAAGGGCTCTTCACCCATGCACAGTTTGCGCGTCCCTTCCCTTCAACCACAAGGTGCGGTTACCTCTGACCTCTCCGCTGACCCTGTGGGCCAGGTTACTGTTGCTCTTGCCACTGCTGCTGCTGCAGTGTTACTGTGCTTGCTGCGCCACTCTCTACTCTGTGCCGTCTGTGCTCCTGCTTTGGCTGCTTCTGGTGCAGGGGGTGTTACTGGGAGCGGTGGTGTCGCGGTGAGCGCGTTGCGCTACGAACCCGACAACCCCACTTCGATTCCCGCTCACGACCAACACCGGTGACGATTATCTGAATCGGTCCTGGGCCTCCCCTAGGTCCACTGAGCCTCAAATGAGTACCTGGTGCGGTGTGTAAGCATCGCTACTGGGAATACAAAGGTGGTCAGGTGTGGTGCTGGCCATCCACCGCCTCGTGTATCGTTCCAGCATTCATAGCCGCTCGCTTACAGCACTTGCCCCAACAGTCTGTTAAAAGCTATATGGGAGATCTTTGTCCTTGTTGCAGGGGGTCTCTGGGAGCCTGGCCTCTCAAGCCTGGGTAGTGCCCCTGCTCAGCTCTAATTCAGTCTCTCAGCATTTATCCAGACAAGCCCAAGGGGAATGGATAGGCTTCTGAGAGTTGCATTTTTCACTTTACACGTTCTAGAAATTATCGCTTTGTTTTTAGTTTAAAATGACCTGAATGCACTCGTGATGATGACAGTCTCACCGACACCGCTCTGTGCAGCCCCCCCGTGCTTTCAGGTGGCTGACAGGGCCCTGGGCTGGGCAGGAGAACAGTCCCCCAGACCGTCACGCAGGCTCTTGTGCTGACCTGCCATGACCATGCCGGCCGTGTGGTCGTGCCCCAGAGGCATGAGCCAGTGTCACTTTGAGGAGTTGCGGCCGAGGCTGCCCCTCGTAGGAGCCGTCGGAGCGCTCCCCGAAGCGCGATGTTCCCTCGGCTCTGTGGCGCAAGGCACAGCTGCCCCCGACCTTCATCCAAACCTGAATTGCTTCGGTTCTTGGCCGCGTTCGTATCGTGCAGTTGCCCCGGGTTTTCCTACGCCGATAACCAGCAAACGTGCGGTGAACAATGCCGCCCGGACGCGCCGCTGCCGGCGACTCGTCTGCGGAGCCACCAGTCTAATGAGCCGGCATGGCCACGAAGCTGGGAGCGTAAAAACTCTCGCGATGCCCCATCGAGCTGGGCGGCCGGCCGGCCTCGCGGTGACCTGCGCGTGTCCCGCGCCGGGCCTGTACTGCACGGGGGACCTTGCCCTCGAACAGCTCTCCTAATGGAGCCGTGTGTCCTGCCCCCGTGTCCCCTTCTCACTCCCACCTCATCCTCCTCGTTTCCTGCCTGCTCCTCGTGCCCATCTCCTCCTTCTTGCACCGGCCGTTGCTCGGGGGCCTTGTTTTACTTTTATTGTTTGGCGCTTGGTTTTGAAATGCACTTCCACACCCGTGCACGAACACATCCCCACCGCCCCTTCCCTCCGGAGCCTCCGTCGCTCTGCCGTTTTGGTTTTGCCTGTGAACATCAACCCTCACCTTCACCACCACCGCCGCCGCCACCACAATCCCGACCTCCCTGCACATCCCACCTGCCCCCCCCTTCCCCACCCGCACGTGGCCCATCACCCAGTCGCTGTTTCCCGACCGCTCCCTGCAGCAGACGCACCAGAGCGCGCTGCGCGTGCAGCAGCGGGCCGCCGCCCTGCTCGGCTCGGGCCACTACGCCACGGACGCCGTGCGCTCGTGCGCGGAGATGGTCGCCCAGCACTGGCAGCGGCTGCTGCTGAGGGTGGAGGACCGCCTCAAGCTCGTCACGGCCTCGGTCGCTTTCTACAAGACCTCGCAGCAGGTGAGCGTGCACGCTCACACCGTCCCGCTTGAACACGATTCACCGCAATCCCTCCCTTGATCACCACTCTTCTATCAATTTTAGATTTGAAGCTTTCGTGACTGCAAGAATTCATACTCTTAGGTTTTTTCGGTAAAGCCACGTAGGTAAAACATAAAAATAAATAATAATAAAAATAGAAATAATAATTATTTAATTTCTATTAGTATTTTTTTATTTATTTTTTACCTACGTGACTTTACTGAAAAAACCTAAGAGTATTCTTCTATCACTTCTACTACCACGGTTACTCTGCCTGTGAACTTGACTCATCTATTCCTCCCTCCATGTTGAGGATTCGGTTCTACCACACTGACCGTTTCGTCCCGTCCACACTGTGTTCAACCACCACACTGCAGGTCACTAGACTGGTCTTGTTAAAACAACAAAACGAGCAATGCGAGGAGGTGGCCCGGCTGTAAAGGCTGTACACAGCCCAAAGTTGAGCGTCAGCTCGGCCCTGCGTAGGTCAACCGCGGTGTTTGTCTCGCCAGGTGTGCTCCGTGCTGGACAGCCTGGAGCAGGAGTACAAGCGCGAGGAGGACTGGTGCGGGGGCTCGGACAAACTGGGCCCTGGCGCCGAGAACGATCACGTGGAGCCCATCATTCACAAGCACCTGGAGCAGAAGGAGGCCTTCCTCAAGGTAGCAGAGGTTTGGGTGGAGGCTGTTATTGTGGAGGCTGTGTTTGTGAAAGCTGCTATGATGTGGGGATTGTAACGGTGGAGTCCGAGAGGATGACAGTTGTGATGGTGCAGTCGATGGCTGTTGGGGGTTGTGATGGTGGAGTCGATGGCTGTTGGGGGTTGTGATGGTGGAGTCGAGAGGGGGTGGGGGTTGTGATGGTGGAGTCGAGGGGGGGTGGGGGTTGTGATGGTGGAGTCGAGGGGGGGGGTTGTGATGGTGGAGTCGAGGGGGGGTGGGGGTTGTGATGGTGGAGTCGAGGGGGGGTGGGGGTTGTGATGGTGGAGTCGAGGGGGGGTGGGGGTTGTGATGGTGGAGTCGAGGGGGGGTGTGGGTTGTGATGGTGGAGTCGAGGGGGGGTGGGGGTTGTGATGGTGGAGTCGAGGGGGGGTGGGGGTTGTGATGGTGGAGTCGAGGGGGGTGGGGGTAACAACCCTCTGGCCCTGGCAGGCCTGCACGCTCGCGCGGCGCAACGCCGAGGTCTTCCTCAAGTGCATCCACAGGAACAGCGTGACGCAGCCCGGCTTCCTCAGCCCCGCCCGCGGCCCTGAGCAGCAGGTCAAAGGTCAGCACTCTGTACGGGTTGCCTCTGAACCCCGCCGCGTGAACCCGGTGTTTTGTATTTGTTGCCACGAGGTGGCGCCGTCGGCGTTCTTTGCGCTCATCCCAAATTTCCCCCGCACCTTTTGCGTGTGCTGCAGCACGTGCGCCCTGCCCTCAAAGATGTGCGTGCCGCGCGTGGGGGTTTGTGGGCCGTGTTTAGTGATCCTGGGGGAGCTGCTGCAGAGAGAGAACCGCGTCCTGCATCACTGGACGGTCCGAAAGCGCCGCCTGGAGCAGTGTCAGCAGTACGTGCTGTTCGAGCGCAGCGCCAAGCAGGTGCGACCGCGCACGCAGAGCTGGAGACGTACACAGACGTTACACGCCGCTAGGTGGCAGTACAACAACACATTCTAAATGTCCATCTTTGAGTGTTTTTTCTTTGTGTCAGTGGCGGCTGGTGATATTTATTTTTGGGGGGGCGCATTTTTTTTATTTTATTGAGGGGGGCAAATAAATATAAAGCAGTACCAAAAACCATTTTGACTACTTGAATATAAATTTTGATGATCTTTATTTACATTTCAGACCAAAAGAAGTACCAAAAAGCATGTTTCCTACTTGAACATAAATGTTTCTCTTTTATATACATTTCAGACCAAAGTACCAAAAAGCATGTTTCCTACTTGAACATAAATGTTTCTCTTTTATATACATTTCAGACCAAAGTACCAAAAAGCATGTTTCCTACTTGAACATAAAAACGTTAGTTTCATGCTATTATCAATATAGCTGCGGCTACTTTCATGACGTTTGCATTTGTCAGAGAGATGTTTGAGGTCTCTTACCCCCGTCGTTGTCCACAAAACTTCAGTGCCGACACTTTGAAATAAAAGACAGGGAAAACAAAAAAGAGAATTGCTAACATCACATCCAGCCAGCCACCTCCGTTTCTCATAACAAGCGCGGGTGAAGCTTCGTGTGTAGCTTCGTCCTCTGTCACTGGCCTGCTGCTGGATTTGTAAATCGGGTTGGTCCGGTCTGAGATCCTTTATCTTTTTTATTTCTTCCAGCGAAAGCCTTGTGAAAGTGTTTTTTTTGTAAATAAATTACAGAATTTGGATGAACTGCTGCCATTGTTTACACAAAAAATTTGATCAGCCTAGCAAGTGTCAAAGTGGTGTCGCCTTCGCACTCGCAGTAGTGGCCTACAGCGTAAATTTGAATGACAGGTGACGAGAACCAATCAGATTGGATAAAATAACATGTATCCAATTCTGATTGGCCAGGGACGCAACGACTTGCGCCCCGAGGAGAATCTTTAAGAAACCAATTAGAGACCAGCTTCAGGTCACATGCTGTCCGAAAATGTAAAGTCTCACATAGACATCCATTTGTCCGGCGCCCCGCATGAAACACATTGAAAAACATAGAAAATAGTTGACCGATTAAAGCCAGTTTTTATTAAATGCTGATGCTTTTCTTACTACCAGCCGGCACATCGTATGAAAAAAATATTTTATTTATGTATTTTTATATAAATTTTGCATATGTATATTTCTTGAATATTGATGGGGGCGGCGCCCCTGCGCCCTCTATTGACGAGCCGCCACTGCTTTGTGTGTGGCATTGGCCAAACATCTCAACACAGCAACCTCCTGAAGAAGCGCTGAGACTCCCTGAGGCTTTTCTGGATAAATAGAAGGAAACACACGGACACTGGAATTGCACGTAGACGGCCAGCCAACAGCACACAAGAGAGTAGAGCGTATCGCCCGGTCCCTGTGCGTGTGTCTGTGCGTGTGTGCTTGGGGAGACAAAGGCGGCCGGGCGCGATTCTGTCCACACCAACCTCTCGTGCATACTGATGGCGAACAGCACTGTTCAGGGCCACACGGGGGATCTTTGTGTTTGTATCTGGGTCGATTTATTGCCATGGCTTACACCAGTGGCAAGTGATATGTGAACTGGTGTGTAGTATAGTGGGGTGTACTGTGGTATTAAGAGAGCTGTGTACTGTAGAGTGTGGTGGAGCGTAGTGGTTATTATATTATTTCTTGTGAGGAGCTGTAGTGTAGCGGTGAGCGTGCTCCGCCACGAACATGGCGACCCGAGTTCGATTCCCGCTCACGGCCAACAACAGAGCTGGTCGTGGACCTCCCCTAGGTCGACTCAACCTCAAATGAGTACCTAATGCAGTGTGTAAACATCGCCATGAAAGAGACGGCCGAGCGTGGTATTGACCACCCACCCCCTTGTGTGCTGTGCCGACCTTTTTAGGTGCTCGCTAACAGTACTTGCCCCAACAGTCTGTGAAGGCTATACGGGGGATATTTGCCTTCATATGGGTGTGCGTGTGTGTGTGTGTGTGTGAACCCCGCAGGTGCTGAGCTGGATCCACGACACGGGGGAGTTCTACCTCTCCACGCACTCGTGCACTGGGCAGACGCCCGACGAGAGCCGTGCCCTGCTGCAGGAGCACGACAGCTTCTCGTCCTCAGCCAAGGCACACACACACACGCACGCCCACTGGCACACGCGCGCACACTAGCACACGTACAATAGCACACGTGCACTACCACATACACACGCGCGCGCACTCACGCACATCGGCGTGCGCGTGCTCACATTCGTGGGCATATGCACCGTGCGTGCGTGTAAAACTGCTGCTGCTGCTGCTCGGTGCAGGAGGTGCGTGAGAAGGTGGTGCTGCTGGTGCGGCTAGCAGAGTCTTTCCTGGCCAAGGGGCACGCTCACGCCGTCGACTTCCGCCAGTGGGTCACGGCCGTCGACAAACGCTACCGCGACTTCTCCTGCCGCGCCCACAAGCACCGGGCCGCCTTGGAGGCTGCACTGGGCCTCCCGCCACAGGTGTGGCCTCGTCCGTGTGATCCGCAGCATCGGCGGAATACACCACGCTTGCCGCTGCTGCTGGGGATGGCTCGGATGCGTCGTCGCTGGCAATGGCCTAATTTGCATAGCTAAATAAATAGGCAGAAAAGACGCCCCCTGTCCCACATCTGTTCCTCCGCATTTTTAAATTAAAGTATTTTTTGTGAAGTATCAGCCATGCTGACTTCCTATATTCCACAACAATGCTCATGATAATTTAATGTTGTGTATTATATAGTTTTATATTTAAATATGACCCATACATTACAGAGAAGATCCTTGCCTAACAAACATCTTGAAATTTTCCGGTATTGGTTCAAGCAAGCCTGACTGCTCATGAGATACTGTCAACGCTAATGATTATTCTATGTCATCTACGATGATAACTGTCGACGGAGCGATGGTCGGTCGTAACCCAAACCTGCCCGAGCCATCGTCTAGGCGACTAATCACAAACCAAACAACTTGTGAACCTGATACCGATTTCTGCCCTAACCGTTAATCTTAGTCATGTCCGTTTGTTTCTGTCCGTGTGGCCCTCGGGAACTCGCCGCGTATAGAACGATCGCGATCTGCAGCTTGACACAGTCCCATTGGGGTTGGCCGAGTCGGGGGGTAAGCCTGAACCGGCCAATCAGAGCCTGCGGCCAGAGAGCAGCCCAGCATGCCTCACGGGGCCAGAGGTCAAGCTGCGAGACGCCAGTCACGAGCTCAACGAGGAGAAGAGGAAATCGGCGAGACGGAAAGAGTTGAGTCTCTCGCCACCTCCGCACAATGCTGCAGGGACCCGGGGTGCTCGGCGTTTAACTGAACAGCCGCCTCTTGGGCCGCGAATGATGCGCAGAGCCCTGGTGGGTGGATGTTGAGTGCGAGTGCAGGCAGGGATGAGCACAGGCCCGAAACGTCAAGCGGCCAGCAACATACTGCATCGTTAAAGTTGTAATAGATACACATTTATTTTTACATTTTCTTCAATTGAGCAAGGTTATAAATAGGTACTGGGAAAGGAGACGGTGGGAGGGAATTCCAAAATGAAAGAATACAAAGGAAACCGAAAGGGAAGTGGTGTAACCTGCATTGTGGTGGATGATTGGATGAGTGTGTAAATGAGTGGGTTGTTGTAACCTGTATTGTGGCGGATGAGTGGATGAGTGTGTAAATGAGTGGGTTGTTGTGACCTGCAGTGTGGTGGATGATTGGATGAGTGTGTAAATGAGTGGGTTGTTGTAACCTGCATTGTGGCGGATGAGTGGATGAGTGTGTAAATGAGTGGGTTGTTGTAACCTGCGTTGTGGTGGATGATTGGATGAGTGTGTAAATGAGTGGGTTGTTGTAACCTGCATTGTGGTGGATGAGTGGATGAGTGTGTAAATGAGTGGGTTGTTGTGACCTGCAGTGTGGTGGATGAGTGCATGAGTGTGTAAATGAGTGGGTTGTTGTAACCTGCATTGTGGCGGTTAAACAGTGTGGATGAGACGAAGCAGTCCGTCTGATAGACCGATTCCTCATCATGAGTGAAGTTCACAGAAACAGTAACCATGGTAGTAGCTATAGAAGAGTGATAAGGAGGAGACTGGCCGTCAGAGAGTGAGTTACTCGAGTGAATCTTGGACATGACAGCAGTGGCTTCCATCAGCACTTTTTCCACCAGACAGGTCCAAGAACTGATTAGAAGGAAGTCAATAATTGGCGCATTATCTGACATGTTGTCTTCACGATCCAATCTGCTGATGCTGATGTGGTGGTGGCTGCCGGCGTTGCCTTCAGGTTCATCATGGCGGAGCTGCTGCAGACGGAGAAGGCCTACGTGCGAGACCTTCACCAGTGCATCGAGGTGTTGCCCACAGCGTCCACCGCACGCGGTTGCCCGTTTCACCTGCGCTTCCCTCGTTCACTATTGGGTGTCCTCACTGTGAAGCTTTCGTGAGCGTTACTCTCGTTTGGAGCGTTCAGCACAGTCTTGAGAGAAACTGCGTTGCATCATGAAAGCAGTGCGTGGTGGTGGTGGTGGTGTTAGTGTGTTCTGAGGTAGCAGTGGTGATAGTGTGTTGTGATGGTGTTGCGAGGTAGTAGTGTGTTGCGAGGTGGTAGTGGTGGTAGTGTGTTGTGAGGTGATAGTGGTAGTGTGGTGTGATGGTGTTTCGAGGTAGTGGTAGTAGTGTGTTGTGAGGTGGCAGTGGTGGCAGCAGTGTGTTGTGATATGGTGGTGGTAGCACTGTGTTGTGATGGCACTGCGTGGTGGTGCAGACGTACCTGTGGGAGATGACGAGCGGCATCGAGGAGATTCCACCGGGAATCGTCAACAAGGAGCAGCTCGTGTTCGGCAACATCCGCGACATCTACGACTTCCACAACAAGTTCGTCCCCCCTCTCCCACACCTCCCTCTGTGTTTGGAGGCCTCTTTACAGCCCTGCAGAGCCAGCGGTGGAAACTCAACATTCCACATGATAAGAACTGCTTCATTAGCACGGTTGGCTACGTACAAAAGAAGTTCAACTTACACACACACATTCCCATTATTCCTTTAGCGAGGGAGAATCTCTCCGTCGGACAACTACTGTTGACCTCCTAAGCAGAGCGGTGCTCCTTTTGTCGAGGGCGCCATGCGTGTGTCTTGTAAAGAAATGGAACGCTGGCAGGCGCGCGTCACGCTGAGGGTGACGGGGTCGTGTCGCTCCCCTCCCCTCCCCGCAGCATTTTCCTGAAAGAGCTGGAGAAGTACGAGCAGCTGCCGGAGGACGTGGGCCACTGCTTCGTCACCTGGGTGAGGCTGCGCTCTCCTCCTCTCTCTTGTCGCCTGCAGCACGCCTGCTTCTCGACACCTTCTCACGCGCCGCTCTCCCTTCCCTCTCTCACGCGCAGGCGGACAGGTTCCAGATGTATGTGGCTTACTGCAAGAACAAGCCCGACTCAAGCCAGCTCATCTTGGAGCACGGGGGCACCTTCTTTGATGTGAGGGTTCCTGTAGTTTGTTGAATTTAGGAAGCGACGGAGCAGAAAGCTCGTTTGCTTCTGCGTGCGTCGGAGCAAAGCTCTAGTCCGCTAATACGAAAGGTTATTACTTTGATTGTTTACCCATGACTGTTTTTCGGGAGGGTATCATAGTTGAAGCCAATAGTTGCTGCGTGTTCAAGTAGTTTTTGGTGTAATTTTTCAAAAATGTTTGCATTTGGTTTGTGACCCTGGCATGCACAAAGGCCTACCTTTTCCAAATGACGTCCCGGTGGCGCTCTCCCCCCGTGTGCGCAGGAGATCCAGCAGAAGCACAGTCTTGCAAACTCCATCTCCTCGCAGCTCATCAAGCCCGTGCAGCGCATCACTAAGTACCAGCTGTTGCTGAAGGTGCAGCCCACATGGCCTCACACGCGTGCAGACAAAGACAGGCGACTGTGTCTCCCCAGTGCTGATGTTTTACACACTGAAACAGCTACTAGGAAATACGTTCATATTTCATCACCGATGTTAGCTGTGAGCGCGGAATCGAACTCGGGTTGCTGCGTTCATAGCACCGTGCGCTAACCTCTACACCGACGCTCCCCACACGATTGCTTATTTACGCACGCACACAACAACAGCAGCAGCAGCAGCCACCATTAGCCACGAATCAGCATTGACATCACCCCAGGGCTTGCGCCAGGTAGGTGCACTTTTAAGTTATCACATGAAGAGTGGAAGGCTCGCCGCCATGAGGTGACGGGAAAGACCCCGGTGTTATGCGCTGACTGACTTGAAATTGCTTCCACGCGCAGACGCAGATGCGCGTGCACGTGGAGTGGAGGCACCTCCGTGTTCTCACTGCAGGCGCGTGCGTGCCTGTCCCCACCAGGAGCTACTGACGTGCTGTGAGGAGGGCACGGGCGAGATTAAGGAGGGCCTCGAGGTGATGCTGAGCGTCCCAAAGAAAGCCAATGACGCCATGCATCTCAGCATGCTGGAAGGTAGGCCGCAGAGTCAGTGGACTTTCCCTTTTTATTTTTTAGTCATTTGTCCAAGCCAACTTTTGTTCCAGGACATTTGTTTCTTGTGATATTGTTTATATTTGTGCACAGCTTTCAATCTCTTTTGTTGTTTTTGCACTGATTTCTGTTTTGTTATTTTTGCTCTGATGTCTGCTTGCTTCATGATCATGCTGTATTGTGTGTTATCGCTTTTGTAATTTTGGTGCCTGGATGGGAATGTGTGTGAATGTGTGTTATTGTATCTTTGTGGGGGGAGCGGTGGTGCAGTGGGTTAGCGCACTGCACTACAAACTCGGCGACTCAAGTTCGATTCCTGCTCACGACCAACATTAGTGCCATATATCTGAACCAGTCGTGAGCCTCCCCTAGGTCGACTCTGCCTTAAATGAGTGCCTGGCGCGGTGTGTAAACATCCGCACTGGGGAGACAAAGGCAGGCCAGGCGTGGTTCTGGTCGCACAACCCCCTCGTGTTCTGTGCTGGACTTTCATCGGTGCTCACGAACAGCACTTGCCCCCAGCAGTCTACCGAGGCGACAAGTGGTCTTTGTGTCTAATATCGGTGTGCCTGCTCGTGTGGGCGGAGTGTGCACGGGTCTGGAGGAGAGTGTGGCCGCTCAGGGGGAGCTGCTGCTGCAGGAGACGTTCCAGGTGTGGGACTCGCGTTCTCTGCTGCGCAAGGTCCGGGAGAGGCACCTCTTCCTCTTCGACATGGCCCTGCTCTTCAGCAAGGAGCAGAAGGACTCCTCGGGCAGGAGCAAGTACCTCTACAAGCACAAGATTCCTGTGGGTGACGCACCCCTCTCTGATTCGTGCCGCTTACTTGTATGTATGTATGTTGAACTTGTTTCGCACCGCGTAGCCAACCTTGCTAATTGGAGGGGTCCCTTACCTCCGTGATGTGTGGGCGTCCGTTATCTACAGACATCTGCATCTAATTCCCCCCCCCCCCCACTCTTAACTCAACACCTCTCATTTTACTCAAGAAAAAAAATGCTCTACGGTCCCACAGGCACAAAAGTTTAACCGTCCCTAGAGATCAAACCCGCACAGGCACACCCTCGCTCAGAGCTGCTTCAGCATGGAACCATCTCCCAGACCCACCAACTCGTGCCGCCAGTCCCAGCTGATTTAATTCTGTGATAAAAACTCGCTCACCACTCAACGTCTGCAACCATCACAGAGCGAGTGCATTCTATACAAACCAGCCATGTGTACCACTTAATTCTGTATTCATTGTATGAATGCAAACTGCATAATTTCTAGATTTAAAATAGCTGTATGCATTTCAACATGTTTTTTAAATATGTGTGAGTGTTTATGTGTGTATGTGTTGAGGTGTAGAACCATGCAGACTCGGAGTTTCTTGGACGGGCTTATGCCGGTTTATTAACACTGTTAATAATCACACTAACTCACACCAGTGCACACTACACTCGGCCCTTCCCTTGGACCTCGGCTCTACTCTTGTCCCTAGCCTCGGCTATTCCCTTGGGCTTTCCCACCCGAGTCGGGACAGGGGTTGAGCCATCACCGCCCGACCGAGCGAGAGCAGCACCCCACTTCTCCCTAGCCGGCTCTCACGGACTTCCTCGAGCATTACCCTCGGCTATCTCGACGGCTCTCCCACTCGTCGAAACCCGGGACGGGGGTTCAGTCAACTCCGTCCGTTCACGAGCGAGAGAGACCTCTCTTAGCCGCTTCACAGCCCGGGCTCCCACAACGACCCCCCTTACATCACGGGGTCCCCCTTAAGTGTACCCCCTTACAATCCCCGTCACATGATGTCATCCCACTATCCCATGACTCCATGAGGCTACTCCACAACATATGTATGAGTGTCAACTCAGCCAGTGGTAAGTGATGTATAAACTGGTGTATAGTGTTGTGGGGTTAACTGTGGTGTTGCGAGGGGTGTACTGTATAGTGTGGTGAAGCATAGTGGTATGTATACCATTCCTTGTGGGGAGCGGTAGTGTAGCGGTTAGCGTGCTGTGTTACGAACACGACGACCCAAGTTCGATTCCTGCTCAAGGGCAACACCAGAGCTGGTCCTGGACCTCCCCTAGGTCGACTCAACCTCAAATGAGTACCTGGTGCGGTGTGTAAATATCACCACAGGGGAGACAAAGGTGGCCGGGCGTGGTGCCTTCTCAGCTGCTCACTAGTAGCACTTGCCCCAACAGTCTGTTAAGGATATCAGGGAACTTTGTGTGTGTGTGTTGAACTTCTTTTGCACCACCATCCTAATCGGAGGTGCGGGGGTGTATGAGTGTATACCTGTGTGTATGTTTGTACAAGTGTCAATTCGTGTTTGCTGTGTGTCAGCCGACACCCTGCACACCCTTGCAAGCGAGGCGTTCCATCTCAAGGGATTATCCGGGTGAATATTGCACTGAATAAAGCGTGCGCGTTTGTGGCTCCTCCTCCCCCCTTCCTCCCTCCTCCCCCCACCCTCCTCCCTTCCTCCATCCTTCTCCTCGCCCCCCCACAGACGTCGGAGTTGGGGGTGTCGGAGCACGTGGAGGGGGACCCCTGTAAGTTCGCGCTGTGGGTCGGCCGCACCCCCACGTCAGACAACCGCCTCGTCATGCGGGTGAGTTCCCTGGCGGCCAAACCGCCGCTTTTGTGGAGTCACGAAAGTGGCGGTGGGGGTGGGTTTGTGACGTTCGTTGTGTGGTGGTTATTTTTGTGTCGTGTAGCAACACTCGCAGCCATTACTCTGTTCAATCAAATCACGTCCAAGTTTTTGCTCAAAATGAGCAGTGCTCATCTCCCGTTTACTGCCCTGGACCAGTGGCTATTCCATATTCCTATGGTGGCAGTGAGCCTATCCATAGGACAAGCACTGTTCACTTCCCCACAAAGTGGTACTCGTTTTATCTATCCCTGAGGAGTGATTGGCTGAGTAAATCCTTCACCAAAATTGCAAGCCACTCTACTGATGGCGGTTGTGTGGTGGTTACGTGAAGGTTATGCGCTGGTGGTGGCGGCTGGGGTTGTAGCCTTCCTCTGTCGTGTGGAAATAGCAACTCGTACGAGGGTAAGGTTGCGACTAAAGCCTCATGGACTTTCAAGATCATCTTTTTTCAGGAGGATCCTGCGAAGTTTTGACAGTAAGGAGCTACGGTTTCTGTGTTTCACTCGATCTTTAACGTCCATTGTGAAGCAGACGGCTCGTCGTATTCTACGGTTATTACACAGGCCGCACTTGTCAACGAGGGCAGCCCTCCAGATTTAAACCACAACCTCTGCAACAAGCGGCGAGCACGACACCGCTGTGCCGTGTCACCGCCGTTGTGCCGTGTCACCGCCGTTGTGCGGTAGATGGGTGGTGGCGGTGGTGGCAGTGGTGTTGTGCGAAGGTAATTGGTTGCGTGCGCGTACAGGCGTCCAATCTGGACACAAAGCAGGAGTGGGTGAAGCGCATCCACGAGGCGATCCAGGAACGCACGTTGCACCTGAAGGGGCCGCTCAAAGAGCCCATCCAGGTGCCACGTACTCCTGGGGCCAAGCACCGCTCCAGGTGAGGCGATGTGCAACGGTTGTATTTAGATTTGAGGTTTACACAGCCTTGGTTAACAGTCACTCGACTCTCTTCGAGTGCAACTGCGCGCGTGACCTGGTTGCAGGGCATTGCGTAAGCCCTCCTTCCACCTGGTCTCCGTTGTCCACAAAGGGAAATGGTGAATTAGGAGTGGGAATGTAACGTGATGGTGAATGTTTACTGGTGAGTACAGATGCTGTGATGCTCACAGATTGCCATTCTGTACCAACCGCTTGCTGGAGGCCGGGCGGGTCGTGCAGCAGCAGCAAACACAGCAACACCAAAAGCAGCAGGATGGACAACAGTAGCCGCAGATTGTACAGTGGCAACAGCAGCAGCTGCGCCAGCTGCACATGCTGCACATGTGGCGCAGGCTGCACTTGCAGCCAAGGCTACACGTGCTGCACAGGCTGTACATGCTGCACGTGCTGCACATGCTGTGCTCACTGAACATGCTGCACCTGCTGCGAGTGCTGTGCCGGGCTCGGTGCTGTGCTCCCTGTGCTCTGTGTGATGCTATTTTCTCTGTGCTGGGTGCAGGGAGGGTGGAGAGGACGCAGACAGCCTCGGAGAGAGCAGCAGCCAGCCAGACACCGCCTCTCTCACGTCCCGCAACTCCCAGCTCACCGTGGACAGCGACCGGGTACTACTGCCTCATCGACAAATCACCGCCGCTTTTACCGGCCAAACACACGCAACACCAACCCACCACTCATCAACCACTCGCCAACCACCTCCACCATCCACATCACTAACCAGTCACCTGCACTCACCAACTACTCACCAACCAAATCACTCACCAGCCACCCACACGCAGCATGACACACCACCCCAGACTGCTCCAGTCAACAACCACTCGCACCCTCCAAACCTTTCACAGCACTCACCTACCACCAACACCACACATGAACCAGCTGCACTCACACATGCGTACGTGTGCACACACATTCACGCAAGCCTCGCGAAGCCGGAGCCCTGTCGATTCTGTCCGGTAACTTCACTTGCAGCTGTATTTGACGCACGTCCGTTTACCTGCTGTCCCCCCGCCAGCTGTCGGGTGGCTGCGAGATGACGGTGGCATCGCAGGACTTCTCTGCGGCCAGCTCGGGGGAGCTGAGCCTGCGCAAGGGCCAGGTGGTGGAGGTGCTGGAACGAGGACGCGAACGTGCAGACTGGTGCCTGGTGCGCGCCGGCGAGGGCAGCACGTCATCCGAGGGCCTCGTGCCCTGCGCCGCGCTGAGCCTGCCACCCTCGCGTAGCAGCCTCGACATGGACGGCCTCTCCTCCTCCAGCAAGGGCGGTGGGTTCCCGCCGATAGAAACCATGTTTATCTCAAATGTGTAAATGACGAACTCGCCCATCGCGATGGGCATATTAATGCGGGCTGCAAACGCACAAAAGGTGTGCATTGTTTGCACGCAAAAAAAGTGGCCTTCTCCAGGCCACGTTTTGTGGCCTTATCTAGAACACATTTTCTCATCTTTTTGAGTTTGTAAATGACAAAGTAGGCACGTTCCGTTCTTTTTAGCTGTTGGTTTGGTTAAGGCTGAGTGCTTTTCTACATGCAATGCTGCACACCTTCTTGTTGTCGTGCGGCTGGTGGTCAAGACAGACAACCACATCAGGAGCAGCGGAGTAGTGTATCACTGTGTTATGTCTCCTTCATATTTGTGGATCGGGCATTGCGTCATTATATGTTGTTGTATGGTCTGTTCTGGATGACCACAGTCGTACACCGGAGAGTTTTTAATTTTCCATTGGTGCATCAGGTATCCGCATCTGCCATGGTTCATGCAGATGCGGTTTAGGGTGGACCATGAGCTTTGTAGAATATCAAATCCAGGGATTGTCTGCGTTGGTTCTTTCACAAGGTGTTTGCTTGTGAATTCTTTTGAACTCCAATTATCTCTCAAAGCTTCATTGGGGTTGAATTCACATTGTTGAAGGTTAAGCGCATGGTTATTGAGGTCCTGATGAATGGGAAGGCGACTGTTTTCTTCGATTTGCAGGACTTCCTGGAGTGTTGCAGCATTGTGATGGATGGGTGGGGGAGAGATGTGTGATAGCACGGACAGCCACGGTGTTGGGGTTGACTTGAGGCTTCCAGTGATACATGGCATTGCAGTGTTTAGTTGGACATCAACAAGTCGAGTGTGGATACTTCTGGTCCATACTGGTGCACAGTACTCGGCTACAGAGTACACAAAGGCCATCGTTGATGTCCGTAGCACTTGTGCTGATGCTCCCCAGTTTGTGCTTGCGAGTTTCTGGACCAGGTTGACCCGTGTTTTGGTCTTGGCAGCTACCTTTTTAAGGTGGTCATGGAAGGTTCGCGTATGGTCCAGCTTCACTCCAAGTTAGTTTGAAGTGGGGTCGTGTCGCACAGTGTTGCCGCAGAAGGTCAGTAACTTTTAGAGTGTGCTTGGTGCTCCTATTATCAAGACGTAATGCAGTGACTGTTATTTTGTGGGGACTTTGCTTTGCTTCAGCCTCCCATTTCCAAAAATATTCCCCCATGGTGTTTGGTTCAGAGTAGATTCCATGTCATTTAAAGTGGGTGCTTGGCTTGCCAGGGCAAGGTAATCCGCATTAACAAATGTATGTGACCCGGTTGGTGGCAATTTCTCTCATAGAGACATTGAAGAGCATTGGCGCGGGTACCGAATCTTGTGGTAATCCACAGTTGAGGAACCGGAGTGAGCTGGTTTTGTCACCTACATAGACACGCAGTCGCCTATTGCTCAGCATTTTCCATATTAGGCATATTGTTTGAGGCAAGGAATGGTCCTTGCGAGCTTCAACATCAAGCCCTTGATCCAGACTGTGCCATAGGCCGATGACAAGTCCACAAAGACTGCACCAGTCTTGGATTTCTTCTTAAATCCGACCTTATTGTGCATCACCAAAACTTGGTCACAGGAGCTACGTCCAGGCCGGAATCCCGCTTGGTCTTCAGGGATCACTGACTCGACAAGGGGGATAATTCTCCAGAGGATGATGAATTCCACGAGTTTCTAGGTCGTGCACAGGAGTGATATCGGCCTATAGCTTCCCGCGTCATTGGTTGGCTTGCCCGGTTTGGGTTTTGCAATGACCATTGCCTCCTGCCATGCTATTGAGATGCATCTGGTTTTCATGGTTTTGGTGTACAGGTTTGCTAGCCATCAGGTGTCCCTGAGGACTGAAGTGATAGAGGAATTCTGGGGGGATACAATCTCTGCCAGCAGCCTTACCTTTCTTAATTTCAGCCAGACCCTTCCCTCACTTCCTCTGCTGATGGCAGTGGGGTCTTGTGAAGAAATTGAGGCCAATGTCTGGTGTAATTTGCGATAGATCTCTCGCTTGATGTTCATATCGAGCGGTCCTTTTGTGTTCTTCACTAGTTTGGAGGCTATAGAGTTAGGCAGGACTCTTGCGGTCCGGTATTCTGTTGGGTTAGCAGTACCCAGATGTCGTAGTAGGGCCCAGGCACGGCGGCTGGAGTTTGTGAAGTCCAGGGCCTTCAACGCACTCAATCCACCGCTGACGTCTGGCTGAGTCTAAAGACTCTAACAACCTGTGGGCTGCCCGACTGGTTGTACTGTCGGAGCAGGTCCTGAGTCTCTTTTGTCTAGCAGGTAGTGGATTTTTTCCGGAAGCCTCGGGGAATGCTCTTCTTAGCAGCTGCAGTAAGGAGGCCAACAAAACGGTGATAACATTCCGGTGTCACGGGAATTCTACTCGCCACTCTTTCTATGACCTCCTTGTCGTGGTCCCAGTCAGCTTTGGCCAGGTTCCATCTTGATAATCGTTTTGACACAATCGCGGGGATTTCGATGCCGATGTGGGTGATGATAGGCCTCTGTTGACTTTTGGGGAAGCTTGGGAGTATGAGTGAAGTGTGCTCCCACTTTGATATTTGGAAACGATGGTGAGTGCTGGGTTGTAATCACGTTGCCAGTGAGCAGAGTGCATGGGATCGAAAACCAAGTGCAGATCTTCGGCAGGCATCTAGTCAGTGAGGTATTTGCCGTCAGCCTGATCTACTGCATAGCCCAATATAGTATGGTGGCTGTTAAAGTCACCAACGTATAGGGCTAGGATTGGTGCACTTGGGTGCACTGCCTTTTGGCCATTTTTTATAATTGGCTTTTACACATTGCAGTCCCCCTATCTTCATTCTTTGGTGTAGGTGGTTTCTTTTTTAATTGGTGAGAAGGCGTAGAACTCTTTGATGTGTTCTTCACATATATGGCCAAGCCATATTTCTGGTGGTAATGGCTCGTCGTGAGGTATCCTGGGATGTGATAGGGACTGCCATGTAGGACATCCAAGACGTGGATCTTTTGGAGTGTCAGCACATCAATGTTACACGTTTTCATTACGTTCAAGAGATACTCGCACTTTGCCGGGAGAGTCTCTCGATGTTCGTTTGGAGGCTCCTTGTCCCAGGACCTATCTGGCGCGCGTTGTTTGGCCCTGAAGAGGGGCCATTGGCGTGGCTCGTGTTGTTGTTCTGGAGACGAGGAGATCGATGTTCAGTCGCCACTTTGATGGCATTCGTCATGAGTACTCACTTAACAGCGTGGGCCGCGTGAAGGCTGCCATCTTCCACCCCTGCTGCACACCTGCGTGTCTTGTTACAAACCACATTTGTTTGTAAACAAAGAGAGCAATTGCTTTCTCTTAACACATTTCAGTTGATTTTGTTTGTCCAGGTGAGAATTCGAGAGACCATAAGAGATTCTCATTTTCCTAGAGGGAGCTTGTGTCACCAAAATGAGAAAAGCAACAACATGAAAACTTGAGTACTACAATAAATCAGATGAAAAGCAACCACGTTAAAGAAGACATCGCAAACGGTGCACAAAAATGATTAATAACACATATACAGTTGTAATATTAACACGTATCATAAATTGAGTCAGGGTATTATGGAAACTTGGTAAAGAGACATTGACAGGGAATTCGAGAGTGGAGCGGTTCGAGAGAGGAAGCAGAGAGAGAAGTGTCGTCACCTGCAGTGTGGTGGTGGTTGTTGTGACCTGCAGTGTTGTGGTGGTGGTTGTTGTGACCTGCAGTGTTGTGGTGGTTGTTGTGACCTGCAGTGTTGTGGTGGTTGTTGTTACCTGCAGTGTTGTGGTGGTTGTTGTGACCTGCAGTGTGGTGGTGGTTGTTGTGACCTGCAGTGTTGTGGTGGTTGTTGTGACCTGCAGTGTTGTGGTGGTTGTTGTGACCTGCAGTGTTGTGGTGGTTGTTGTTGTGACCTGCAGTGTTGTGGTGGTTGTTGTTGTGACCTGTAGTGTTGTGGTGGTGGTTGTGACCTGCAGTGTGGTGGTGGTGGTTGTGACCTGCAGTGTGGTGGTGGTTGTTGTGACCTGCAGTGTGGTGGTGGTGGTTGTGACCTGCAGTGTTGTGGTGGTGGTTGTGACCTGTAGTGTTGTGGTGGTTGTTGTGACCTGCAGTGTTGTGGTGGTTGTTGTTGTGACCTGCAGTGTGGTGGTGGTTGTTGTGACCTGCAGTGTTGTGGTGGTTGTTGTGACCTGCAGTGTTGTGGTGGTTGTTGTTACCTGCAGTGTTGTGGTGGTTGTTGTGACCTGCAGTGTTGTGGTGGTTGTTGTGACCTGCAGTGTTGTGGTGGTGGCTGTGACCTGCAGTGTGGTGGTGGCTGCGACCTGCAGTGTTGTGGTGGTGGCTGCGACCTGCAGTGTTGTGGTGGTTGTTGTGACCTGCAGTGTTGTGGTGGTTGTTGTGACCTGCAGTGTGGTGGTGGTTGATGTGACCTGCAGTGTGATGGTGGTTGTTGTGACCTGCAGTGTGGTGGTGGTTGTTGTGACCTGCAGTGTGGTGGTGGTTGATGTGACCTGCAGTGTGGTGGTGGTTGTTGTGACCTGCAGTGTGGTGGTGGTTGTTGTGGCCTGCAGTGTTGTGGTGGTGGCTGTGACCTGCAGTGTGGTGGTGGTTGTTGTGACCTGCAGTGTGGTGGTGGTTGTTGTGACCTGCAGTGTTGTGGTGGTGGCTGTGACCTGCAGTGTGGTGGTGGTTGTTGTGACCTGCAGTGTGGTGGTGGTGGCTGTGACCTGCAGTGTTGTGGTGGTTGTTGTGACCTGCAGTGTGGTGGTGGTTGTTGTGGCCTGCAGTGTTGTGGTGGTGGCTGTGACCTGCAGTGTGGTGGTGGTTGTTGTGACCTGCAGTGTGGTGGTGGTGGCTGTGACCTGCAGTGTTGTGGTGGTTGTTGTGACCTGCAGTGTGGTGGTGGTTGTTGTGACCTGCAGTGTTGTGGTGGTTGTTGTGACCTGCAGTGTTGTGGTGGTTGTTGTG